ATATAATTATATTAAATATTATTATACTATTATGACCACTAATTACTATTTTTATAGGAATAATTTTATATATAACATCCTCAAAAGATAATAAACAACCATCCATTATTTCTACATGCATAGATTTGATTTTTTTAATGAAATATATATCTTATTTTTTGACAAAGTTTTTATTTATAAATTAATCTAAGGCTTTTTAATTCAATTAGGCTAAGACTTTGTAATTTTTTGGTCCTAAATAAACTTCTATTATAAAATAAGATAAGGAATTTGAGGAAAGAATAAGACTTTTATTAGGAGTTACGTAAAATTCTAACTACATAGTTCCTATTGTAGGGAGAAAAACTTATTTTTTGACACATTTTCCTCTTTAGAAATCATGTTTCTTATTTTGTAATTGCATTGTTTCTTAGAATAATGTTGAGAAATGTGCTTGGATTCTCCACAATATAGACACAAACCTTTTTAACAATGATGAGTCTTTTTTTTTTGCTTAATAAGAGGTTTAAAATATACCATATGAATATGCATTGGTTCTGACCTTGATGAATAAGTTTCTAAAAACTTAAGAATTGCCATTATTACTTAACTTGGTTTTTTTTTTTTTTTTTTTTTTTTTTTGCCAAATCTTTGTTCGTGATACCTTTCAAATAATTAATTGTGGCATGCAATGGCTTAAGCATTAAATTGTTCAAAAGATTCTACTTTCAATATTATCAATATAAAATCTTTGATATTATCCTTCAATTCATATTGAAATTCATTAATAAGAGCTTTGTCATTCTAATATACATTGCAAATAAGATTTTGGAATTTAGTAGTGTATATAGTGGCTGACCATGATCCTTATAATAAAGATAAGACATTGGTCTCTTCTATTCTTTTTCAATCGCTTTCTCTTAATATGATTACGAATACTTCTATGAATGAATTCAAATTATAAAATAGTCATGAATCTTTTTCCATCAAAGATGCAAACCAAAAGACAACACTTCTAGATAAAAAGGCACATATAAATCCAATTTGAATAAATCTATCAAGGTATTAAAAGAGATTCAATCTTAGATAGAACTTGACTTGTTGTAAAAAAATTTAAAATTTTTATCTTATTCCATCAAACTTCTTGAACATACTAATCTTTATCTATGTCATATTTATAGAAACAAAACTTTTTGGATTTGATTGTAAAGTTCATCTAGTTGCTTCCTTCAACTATACAATTTGTTGATGCAGATTATGAATTCCTTCCACATGTATAAGATTAGTATTTTTTTATTTTGCACTAGTGATGCATGAAATGTCCACTCTAAGAATGTTGACAAATTCATGAAAATCTACAATAGTTATAAATCTATTTTCACTTCTGTCAAGTGAGGCATTTATAATTTTTTCTTTTATTTCAAGCAACTTAATAAATCTATAAGTCAAATTAGAGTAAGATAATATACAACCTCTAATGTCAATTTGAAAAATAATCTATTTTCTTTAAGAAAAAAATAGTATTATATAATTTAATAATTTTTTTAAAGGTGGATAATCAGCAATCTTCAATATACAATAATAGAGGTAGATTAATCCACTCACTTCTAAAACAAGACTAAAATATTAACTTAATATTCTTGTCAAACTATCAAGGACATGAATCTTGAAGAAAGAAATCCTCAATACACTCCTATGTCATTCAAAAAGACTAAGAAATTACTCAAAGATGATATAGTATTAAACTAAAATGACTATTGCCAAAGACAAGAAGATTAGGAACTCTTAAAACAAGACTAAAGATTAGAAAGGCATACATAAGAGTGAAAAAGGCTTCATTATTGCCTCTATATATACTTTTAACTAGGAGCTATGTGGCAATGTCCTATTAGACCTTCAAAACATGTTAACTTTATAAGATATGTATCTTAACTTACAAGGTAAGTTTTTTGTATGTATGCCACATAGTTAGCTTATTCTCTAAGCTATCAATATGTAGTTAATTTTTTGGCCAAGTCTCTAGCCTACCAATCAACTACAAATACATGTAAAGTCAAAACAATATCTATGAAGCTTTTAAAAAACTTCTCTAGAAATTATTATAAAATAAATTTATTTTTATTTACTTCTATTTAATCACATAGATAAATATTAGAATAAATATGTATATCCGTGACAACATGTAGAGAGTAAAAAAAATTTGAAACTTCAAAAAAAATACTTTATAGTCATTCATGGATAATGAGGGCATATAGAAAAAGAAGTAGAATCAGAAGGTGTAGTACATATTGACTCATATCAACCAACAATTTGGACTACATTTAGTAGAAGTCTAGAGTTTTGACACTCAATACGTTCCACAAGCTCTTTATGATTCAGAAACAATAATGGATTAAGTTTCTATAGACATCATAATTGATAATAAAGTTTAAGCATATATGTTGGTATCTTTCAAAGCTCAGAAGCATTAAATGAGATCATCTTCCAAATTATAATGGATGTTCTCATATTCTATCTTAAGTTTATATGTCATGAGTTCTTTTAAAAGATAAGATTTTATGTAATAGTACATTTTTTTAATTAGCCTTGTAGAAATATTTTCAATACTTATCATATCACACTCATCCTTTGAAAACATGTTATAGAGGATGTAGCATGCAAATATAATGTTTGTAATGGTTTTTATATTTTATTAGGAATAGAAATTACAAATGGTGTTAAAATAAGCTTACATTACTTTAAAGCATCATTCAATAATTTTGTAGCATGTTTTTTCTCTCTTTATAAAGCACTTCCATTTTTTATTACTAGATTAATCAATGCTTTTGATAAATCATTTTCATAAAAAATAAATATTATCATCCAAAAATAACATAAATTGTACTTTTAGTCATTTATCTCAAAAGTGAACTTAGATGCTGCACTTATTGGCATATTGTGGATAAATAGCAAATAGTCAAACACATTTAGATCATTGTTTGAGTTAGGGAGCCAAAAAACAATATGCCACATGTATAAGCCTTAATCAACTATGGCCTCTAAAATAATAGATTGTTTGTCCTTTTTATCACCAAAATCTTCATGCTATGCTTCATAGTAATTTTTCCATTTATTATGCATACAATCTAATTCAAACAAACTAAAAAATCCACAAGTCACATTAATCAATAATGATTCTTCAAAATTAGCTCTAGTTGGTTGTCTTAAGTGATGTTCTTTCAACTCCACTTATACAACTATACAAAATTTTATTACATTCTATTACAATTTTTTTATACAACTATACAAAATTTCATACATTCTATTATAATGGATTCATTAATCTAACAATAATCATCTATAGTATGTGCACTAAGATCCAATATAAGCATCCAAAGTGTAGCTATGATCTTCTAGTAAGATGAAAATCTTGGTAATCTAAAAGCATCTTAGTTTTAGACCAAGTACGAATCACGCTTGCAAACCTTCTCTAAAATAGTAAAAAATAACAATCTTCTCATGCAATACTAATATAAAAAAAAAAAAATAGAACCTCAAATTAGTTCATTTGTAAAGTAATTAAGATGCATTAGTTTGTCTATAAGCATCCTAATTCTTTCAATTTTCTTGGCCTTACCTTTGCAAGAACCACCAAAAAGATCATATCATGGTCGTGACTCCAAGTGCAAGATGCTCTCAAATTGACCCAATGCCATCGCAATTCTAACCTCATTATCTTCATTGTCCTCTTTAAAAGTTACATGCACATTTGTTTATCTTACCTTCTATGCTTCTACTTCAAAATCTTTCTACACAACAAAAAAAACAAACTTTACATTCAAACAATTGTGTTGTAAGAGAGAGAGAGAGAGAAAGAGATGAGACATGTAAGGGAAGAAAGAAGGAAAACATGCCAAGGAAGAGAGAATGGAGACATGTAAGCAGAGAGAGAGAGGAGATATGCAAGGAAAGAGAGAGAGAGGGAAGACATGCAAGGAAAGAAAGCCAAAAGACATGTGAGGGGAGAGAGAAGGGACACATGTGAGGAGAGAGAAAGAAGATACATGCAGAGGGAGAGAGAAGGGATACATGTGAAGAATAAGAGTAGAGACATATGAGTGGAGGGACTTCTTTGAAGGAAGGTTGATAGTGGGATCCTTGGGGAGCCATGGGGATCCTTGGGGATCCTTGGGGAGCCATGGGGATCCTTGGGGATCCTTGGGGAGCCATGGGGATCCTTGGGGATCCTTGGGGAGCCATGGGGATCCTTGGGGATCCTTGGGGAGCAATCAAGTGGTACCCAGTGTGGCTTTTGCTGACTACCTTGCCTTGTAGCTGAGAACCACCTTAGGCCCACCTTTGCCAAGGTACCATAAATCCTTGGCATCTATTCTTTGGACAGCCTTGTTGGTGCCAATAGGTAGAAATACCTTAATGATTGTAAACTAATTTGTTGAACAAAAGAAATGATTGTTAACACTTATTCAAAGTTATAAAAAAAAAATTATATTTAATATGTGTAATGAATATAAAATGAATAGTTTTCAAAAATTAATCAAAAAAATACTACTTAAAGTTTTATTCTAATAATATTAATTAAAATTTTATAACTAATTTGAAATTCATAATATTATTGATTTTGAATAAGATCTCTTAAGTTATTTAAATTATGTCGATTTAGCATTTTTTTGGAAGTCAATTTTTCTTGCACCCATTTCACATGTTCAAATCATTTTCTTTAATTATGTAAAAGTAAAAGAAAAAATATGAACAAAGCATTAATGCAATTCATAGCAGAAGCTTCCAATAGAATCAAACTAAAAGAGACGAGAACCATATACAGCAGTCCAAAACATTTGAATGCAGAGGCTATACTCATGACAACATAAAAAAAAAAATAGAACAAGCTATTTAAGGTTTTTAGCATTAGAAAGATAACTTCTCGCTACTGGCTCAGGGCAAGGATTTTCATAAAAATTATAAAAAAAAACCTACATGTTCTAACATATTCCTAACTTCAGTCCGATTCAACATGCACACTGTTACAAGGAATCAGAACTGTTGAATAACAGGACAAAAAGTAAATGGTAATCCTACAATAATGTGTATCTATCAACCCTCTGAGAAGGTGAAGGGTATTTCAAAAAGCAGAAATATTAGGAGGTATTTTACAGGCAGAAATAACAATTTAGGAGATGATAAAATCCTCGTTATCACTAGAACCAAGCAACAATAGTCGACCGCAAGATCCCCTTGACATGTATGTAAATAGCAGTAAACGTATACATACAAGATTACTACATCAGGCTCTCTAATTAGGGTTCAAGCCCAGACTGAAATCATTGCCCCAATCTCTGGAGCTATCTCTGTACTCCCTGTAATGAAATTAAACTCGAGGTTACGTCCAAGGGTAGCACTACCCAGGCTTGAAATGTCTATACAGCTTCTGGGCCCCATCTTTGCATTCGATGGCTGCCTTCTTGGTTTGATCCCCTACTTTGGCTGGAAACTCGGATGCTGTGGCTTGCAAATTTTGGAACTTTTGACTTACAGCATATGCTGAATCCTGAAGTAGGTTCCCAGTGGATGAGGAGGTAACATGACAGTAATGCTGGGTCTTCCGTCTGATCTCTTGTAAGAACTCCCCAACTCTCTGCAGAAAACCATTGAGCACTCTTAATATTGACTGCCAGGATTGAATGAGTGCAGTGCTGATGTTGGCTTTATGGTCCTCACCCTTATCAATAATATCTTGAATGGAGGCCCGATGGAGAAAATTTTCAATCTCATTTTTGGCACTGTAGTGCCAACTTCTATCTGCAACTGTAAGTGCACTGGGTCCTTGCTCTCGACTGGCTCTCCGATTCCGCATCGTTTCAAGAGCTTCGGCGTAGGTTCGCGCATTCCGAGCTTCATTCTCGGCCCATAACCTATAATACCAATAAAAAGCATTTCCGCCCACCTCAATACATCTCACTTAATATTAGGAGGCTACAAGTCAAAGTTGAGTCATACTCCTACTTCTCAAAGGTCTTTGAATTCAGGTGAAGAAACTGAAAACTGGGAAAATAAACGAACCGAACCAAGAACTTGGATCACTACCTGGCTTGCACAAGAGCTTCTTTCTCGACTTCAACTTCAGACATCAAGCTCGATAATTTTTCCTCGAGACTTTCACACTTAGATCCGAGTTTTTTTAATCTCTCTTGCTCGATGGAAACCTGTGTCTCACGCGTAGTAAGCGCCTGCAGTCGGTCATTGACTTGTTCTTTCAAATGTTGCAGAATCTCCTTCTCAGATTCAACTGCAGCCTTTTCTTTCCAGAGCACATCCCTTTCTGTATCTCTTTCGACTTTCATATGTTCAAGCTCTGCCTTTAATTCCTCGAAGCACCGCTGAGCCTGCTCTATCTCTCGTCGCTCGATATCCATTTGTCCGTCAAAGAGTTCGTTCAATTCCTTCTGTTTCTGTGCTACCATTGCACCATCCGCTGCTAGGGCTTCGTCTACCATCCGCTTCGCTCGCTGCATTGCCAACTCCTCACCATATCTTTCAGTGGTGTCCCCACATGCCAGAGCAATCGCTGCTTGCCCAATTGTGACGACCTTGTGCGGCTGAAACCTTCTTGTAAACCCTACATTCTGAATGCCTTCAGAAAAGTGACCCAAACATCGAGCGTTTTTCTAATTTTGACCAAGGGTGTCAATTTTTAGAAGTCGATTAAGTTTTTTGTGAAAAAAATATTAAGGTGAGATGATTACCAAATGCAGACGTTATGATGCTGTTCTCCCCGGAGTCGAGATCATCACTTAATAAGGGCCACAGAGTGCTGTCAATTCGGTCAATATCAAGGAAGCCAGTCTTTGCTTGAATAGCCTGGAAAGAGAACAATATCAACTTCTCAACACTCGATGACTTACAAAACTGAAATACTTTCTCGAACAAATGCAAAGTACTGGTCATCACCTCTTTGTCGATGGGTGGTAGAGACCGTCGGCCAAGAGTCATCTTCCAGCTCACCAGATCACGACGAGTCAATGGACTGGAAATACAAATGATTCAGTTCTATGATAAGTCGTGTATCCAGATGTGTGGTTGAGTATCTTCAAGGCATAAGTTCAATGAAAATATCTATGCAGCAATTAATGTGTCAAATGATTTAAGGTAGAACAATGCGATATAAAGTCTGACGAACCTCCATTGAAAACTAGAGATAAACTAAGTGGCAGGAGGAGTGAATTACACTGATACTAAAAACATGATAATTTGCAATTTCATGACCAATTTCTGGAGCAAAGACACTAAGAAATGCATACCTATCAGGGAAAAAATTGATCTCTTCATAGTCAGTATCATGTATGTCAAAGCCCTCATTAACGAGAGATAACTTGCTAAGTATAAGACCAGCTTCAGCAATGCCTGCAGCACAGTGAGTGAAATTGTAAGTTTTAAACTACAGTGTGATTGATAGGTTTCACAGGCAGACAGAGAGGCATTTGCAATCACTGTTCTAGCTTAGGAATTCCTCATAGAAGATACTAAAACGTATCTACAGTAAATTGAAATTTAGGACCTACACGGGTACATCAACATCACCTTGAATGTAGGGGAAATCAGGATCATAAGGATTTACATCAGCAAACGCTTGTTCTGTGACACCCTCTATGTACATGGCCGGAAACAATTTATTAGAGGGGCTCCTACACATCCAACATCAAAACTAATTATAAGAATTTAAACTGCAATTCCAGCAGAAATGTAAATGCGCTCCAAAATCTCAGGTTCGTTTGAAAAGGAGTTAATTGGTTACGATACACCACGATATTCAAGTTTCTCATCAGAGAAATTGCGTCAAAAGCCGCTATCTTTGAGAATCGCGCTTCATCGCTATCCGAAACATGCACGCATATCTTACGGTGTAGCCCAGCGTACCTGGTCAATGTACTACTAGAAGCAATGATCCAACGGGCATAGTCCCTACGGTTACAGATCGCCCGAGGATCAGAGCCTTCTTCCACAACCTGGAGTATACACTCACATGTTAGATATGGCTTGAGAAACGACCCAGAACTGGGAACCTACAGTACTTTAGGAAAAGGTATCTAGAAAGAAATAATTGAAAAGGAATCAAAGAACTATTTAGGAAGAATCATAGATGTACGACTTTGAGGCCCTGAGAAACGACCCAGAACTGAAACCTGACCTTCAAGGCCTGTAGCAGAGCGAGGGCTTGCTCTTGCATGCGGTCTACAACAGCCGGCACTACTACCTTCCCGTGTCTACCTAGAACAGCTAGGCGAGCAAATGATCAGTCGTTTGGCAGAAAAGTGTTGAGATACAAGATGACGTGAAACATCTAGAAACTCTAAAATTTCTCAATTCAAGTGCTCCCCGCATCAATTTTTGCACGTCTATTCTGGATTATTATACTCTCGTACTACTAGAGGACAATGCAAACAAAAGAACGATCAACCATTTTACTGCCCAACATGAAAATAAGTATTTAAGTTCTTCACTGAAATAAAATCATGTTAGTTGTTCTTTTTAGAACTAACAACCATGTTACCAAAGAGAATGACAGTGCACTTGAACAACTAACCTGAGATTTTTTGCTTGAATCCTTGAGATCTCCTGATCTCCCTGGATTTCGAAGAAGAAAGTTGAGACTCATCCTTGCCATGTCTTTTGGAATTCTTTGAGTCCTGCAGTCAGTTATCAGGCATAGAAGCAGACTCTGCAACTAAAACCCTCGGCTCATAATTGCATCTATCTATGCCATTTTTTCAATCCTGCAGTATGATTGCGGTTTTATCAGGGAGCTCTGAAGCAGAAAGTCTACATGAATCCGTCCAATCATCTAAGATATCGTTATCTACTTGTAAACTCGAGGATTTTGAAGTAGAATGCAACACGTTGTCCAAAGCAATATCTGAGATCTATCCTTGTACCTGCAGTGATAATGACTCTTGCCTCCAACCCGAATGCACCAAAGCTGTGTTTTGAAGCTCCTCGTCACTTTCATCACTCGGGATCAATTCATCTTCTTCCACAGCCTGTTGTTCCCTCTTCAGGTGAATATGCTCCGCATCCTCACTTTGCACAGCTTTGCCCCCATCAGATTGAACACTATCCTCGACTTGTTTCCTAGAGCTATTTCTTGAACTTGTATCTTCATTATCTTCAACAACATTTTCATCATGGACTTCCTCAAGCTCTTGCGGTGATCTCTTCGAAAATGATGGCAACTGTATTTGCGTAAAAGTAGGTAGGGTTGGGATAACTTTCCTTCCTGTTCCCCAACAAAGTCCAAGATAGCTTACTAGCTTTTCCATGAATCAATCAAAATTACCATAACACAACATGTCCACAGCGAGGGTCCAAAGGCAGATGTAACGGAGTATATTATTCTCGGAATGTGCTACTTAAATTAGACAGTAGAGAAGTTTCCATCAATCGTTCAGAGAAATTTGCTAACCTTGCTTTTGGCACCAAACGTAGTAGAGCAGTGAAAATCCGAGAGCAAGCACAAATCCAGTGGCCACTTGCATGACTCCTGCAGCAATAAATCTGAGATCAGAAAGGCATCCGTATATTTAACTAGTTAATAGCGTTCTGGACGAGCTGAGGTAATTGGCAAACAAGACAACCCATATAAAAACTATTGATAGATTGTGATATGTTCAAAGCATACTGATGTTTAAACAATGTCGGCAGCAAGTACAGTCTCATGCCAAACACTAATATCACGCAGGTCTGTGCTAACTTAGATAGAACGTTTATTAGGTACACGACATCCATATGAGATCGGAATCCGATACAAGACCAGCGGGCTATATTTGAGCGTAACCAGAACCAAGCTGGGATTAACTGACACAGAACTAGGTTTATTAGGTAGACGGACGTGGAATTCAAAAGTGGCCCTGAGAAGCCTGAAAACTTCAAAAAATTTGAGGAAATTTTAGAAAATTCAATCACTAACTGATTTCTGGAAAGCTAGTAAGCTAACCCTCGTCTAAGAAGATGTTCAAAGAAGAATTCGAACATTCTCCTTAGAAACAAGGCGAAAAAGTGGGAATAATTGGAAAGAGCCCCAATTCTGAGCCAGAAGCCCAATGCCCAACAGTATCGAACTCTGAAATGCCAGCGATCACAGCTTCGAAAGAAGCAGTGACTGAATTCGAAACCAACCAATCTATGGGCGACCGCGTTTGTGCGAAAAGAAGACTAGTGTACAAGAACAGGAATATGACTTTAGATGCTACCCATGGGTAAGACTACGTCGAGAGACAAAATTCTGCTTAAGGTCAACTCTCCCTAAATTGCAGCAATAACCATCGTTAATATCACAAGAAAACGCTCTGGATGACATAACAATCCCCCCTGAAGATGGCTGATGCGAATTCACTCATGAAGCACCAGCTGCAATTCGAAGTAAGGGATATGAACCTACTCCAAAATGGGATTACATTCACTGATGGGCTTCTCACCCATTCTCAATGTACCCTTTTCCTTCTGTTCCTCCTCGACCCCATACCATCCACGAAACTTGTCGTCAGCCAACAAAACATCAGCCGCATTCAAATGCGAGGACGATGATCCAGCATGAACGGCGACGTCCTTCTTCTCCTCCAACACCACACTTTCACCACCACTCCCATCCGCGCTACACCTCAAAGACCAAAACCCATCGGAATTCCTACGAAACACGGGCACTCCCAAGCACCTGAACCCACGCTCCACTCTTCCCGGCACCCGCCACGCAGCAGGTACTGGAAATACCCCCAATGTCCACGCCATCGCTGCCAACCCTTCTCCTCCTCAGTCCACCCCTCACAACCAACACTCACGACATCATCAACCTCACTAAAACCCTAAATTCTGCAGCTGTGCTTCAACACACCAGCGACAACAGCATCGAATCAGCAGAGTCGCAATTGTCACGTGTATCCCACAGACGAGGAGACCCCGTCGGAGCCTCAATCCTAACCCACAAGCTCGGTCCCATGCCGGAACACCGGAAGCACACCACCCAGCGCAGGACCCTCACGTCTCATGGTATTCCATGTCCGTGGAGGTACCCCTTTGGCCCTAAACCCGCGGAGCTCAGCCCTCTTGGGTTCGGTTGGTAGTCTCCGCGCTGCCTGGGGCGTCGAAGCCTTGAAAGCCTTAAGCCACGTCACACATTCTCTTTTTTTTCTGTCTTCTTTTATAAAAAATTAAAAAATTAAACAATAGATTAAAAAAAAAAAAAAAATGTCGCAGAAAAGGAGCATTTGCAGAGGTGAAAAATCATGGATAGGCAACTTATATCCTATTACCTCTGGCAGAAATGAAAGCAACAAAACACATTACTACACAAGGGAATTATATTTTTTTTCTTTTTGTGTATGATTAGACTATTTTGTGGCACTCTAAAGCTCCACTTCATGGTAAGTCTAGATCTTGATCCAATTAGATGACTTGTCATCCAATAGTTTTATTATTTAAAAAAATAAAAAAAAATAAAAACTCATTTTGTATTCAGATTGATTTCCATTTTTTTCCTTATGTCTTTCCAAAGGATTTGTCCATACTCTATTAGATTAAACCTAATTTATTTTCTGGTATAGAAGTGACTTTATATTTTAGTGTCAATAAAATAAAATAAAATGAATGAGAATTGTTTATAAGCATAGTCCTCTTAATAGTGACAAATTACTGCAAAAAACTGTGAATCACAAAGAAATTTTATTAGCAAAAATTGCTTACTTCTACATTAGTATTTTTGTATGAATTCTATTTTTAGAGAGTATATGTTAGTTTATATAAGATAGAGGTGGCCCAATTTCATACTATACAAACTTGGTAGCAATTCTAGAACTTATAAAGAATATAATTAGTTTTTGGAATATATATAAAGCAAAGTGGATGTCAATATTTGAGCTAAATTCTCCTCTTATTAATTGGGTCAAAAGTGAGTTTATTAACTAAGACAAAGAATATATTCATGAATTCATATTTTTTTTGCTTGAATTTTTTCTAAAAGATATTCCAACAATTTTTAGAAAGAAAGTCATTTTATTCCTTGTTTCTATTATGAGAAAATTTTTCTTGATTATGTAATAAAGTTTCATCTTGATGGAGTATTCTTAATTGGATAAAGTTTCTATATAACTTCATTTTGGTAGGTTGAAGTAGAGTAAATTATGCATTTTTTTCATCCTTAAAATATTAAGTGAGGAATTGGAAGACCACAAATTGTAGCTTGTCATTTTAAAGATATAGAGACTGATCCAATCTTCAAAGTGACAGAGAAAACTTCCTTATATTACAATAACTTATAATTTTTTTAATAAAGTAGTAATAAAGAAAGTACCAATTATTTTAATTAAATATTATGAGATTATATTTAGGTCTTTTTTTTGTTTAAGAAAAGAGGTTAAGATTGATCTTTAAATAAAATGAAAAAATAAATCATCCTTTGAAGAGCATGTAAGTGAAGCATATTAGCTTATTTCAAGTTTTATTTAGAAAATAGTAAGTAGGAATTGAAGATCCTACTATACAAATATTTTTCAAATTTTGTAGAAAGAAGTAGGAAAGTTGAAGCATATATAAGATATCATTAATATCTAAACTTTGTCAATTTTGTTATAAATCTTTAGATATATACTCTACTTGTGATTAAGAATCAATGCATGAACATAATTAAGAAGCTTTTGGCCATTTGCTTTTGGTTTGGCATGCATTAATTTATATCAAGGATATTATTGGATGTTAGCTTGATTTAATTGCAAACCATTTAAAATCCATTTGGCTAGTAGAGCTTTAGTAGCATCTTTAGAATTAAAATATCAAATCTTTCTCTTAGTCTAGACTAACAAGAAAATTCATCAAAATAGTTTAGATTGAATTAAAGAAAACATATTTTTCTAAAAGAAGTTTCTTATCACGGTCTTTATTTTGAAAATAGTATTCAATAATCTAATTCATAATACAAGAAAAAAATAAAAAAATAAAAAATAAAGATAAAAAAGTATAAAATTTACTATTATAATATGTTGATCTATGTTAAACTTAGTCAGACACCAATAGACAATATTGTAATATGTTCTATCAATCAAGAATAGCTTAATACCTTGTGTGTACAAAAGGAGGTAAAATTAAGTGCCTAGAAGTTTACAAAGGTTGTTACTAGATACTTATTTTTACTCAAAGCTGATATTTTAAGAAATTTATAGTATCTTCTTAAATTTTTAATAAGAAAAAAAAATTAAATCAATTAATTTTTAAACCTTATTTTAGACATGCACATTTGATGGTTTTTTTAAAATATGCATATTATATTTTTTATTTTTTTATAGTAACGGGAGAGTTTTATGCATATTAACAAATAATTTCTTAATCAAAGTTCTATTGTATACTAATGATTGTAGCTTTTTAATCTTTCAAAATTATTAAATAAAAGTATTAAAAATAATTCCTAATAATAATGAAAAAATAAGATGCCAAGAAACATCCTTGTTTCATAATTCTTCTAATAGAAAAATATTTAGAGAGAGAGAGAGAGAGAGAGAGAGATTAATTATAACTATTTTTCTAGCATCTTGAAAAATAATATTGATCTTATAAAAAAATTAATCATTGAAACCTATTTTTTCATCTTAGAATTTAGAAATTTTAAATTTTAGAAGAATAGATATAATTTAGATATTTTGGTTTAATTTGAATTTTTTAAATAAATAAAATATTTTTAAAAATATATCTAATATTAATATATATATATATATATATATTATATATTAATATATATATATATATTTATATATATATATATATATGAATTACCTATACTAGTATTAATTTTAATCTCTTTTAAATATTTTTTTCTTCTATTTTATATGAGATCTTTAATAGAATTATTGGACTTAAAAACTGATTAAATATTTCATAATAAGTAATAATTTTTAAAAATATTTTATGAATTATTTTTACCTTTTTCATAAAAAATTCTTATAGGAACATAAAAAATATTAGGATTTATGAAAGATTCAAATAGTTTTATCTCCAAGTTATAAAAATAAAAAATAAAATGAAAAAGAAGAAAAAAAGAAGTAGATTTCACCCATACAATTTCAAAATATTTCTAAAGGTTAAATCTTAACTGCATTAGAAATAAAGACTCCACTTTTTGCTATTTTATTTGGAATTTTTTCTAATTCATTGAAATTAAAATGAAGAAACATTTTTTCATTTATAATAGAAGTGCTCTTAAAAGAAATAATGTTTGATAGTGTCACGGACATACATATAATTACCTATATGAATAGATAAAAGTATGTAAAAGTAGGTTAATTGTGTAATATCTTCTAGAGAAGCTTCTTAGAAGCTTCATAGACGCTGCTTTGACTTTATAGGAGTCTATAGTTGACTTTTAGGTTAGAAACTTGGTCAACAAGTTAGCCATGTGCCACGCATGTTGGAAGCTTAAAGAACAAGCTAACTACGTGGTCCATCCATAGAAAACTTGCCTTGCAAGCAAAGGCATGTGGCCTAGAAAGTCAACATATATTGGAGGTCTTATAGAACATCGCCACGTGGCTTCTAGTTAGATAGTATATATAGAGGCAAGAGTGAAGCCCTCTTCACTCTTGTCAACTCTTTTCTTGCTTCTAGTCTAGTTTCAAGGGTCTCTTGTTTTCTTGTATTTTGGCAATAGCCATTCCAGTTTCTTTCTTAATATACATATTTCTATTTTGTCCTATTTCTTTTTGAGAAAAGTCTCACTTACTCTTTAGCTTTCATCGAGTTCTTGTCCTTGACAGATTGACAAGAGTACACTTACAATATCAGAGCTTTGTCTTTTCTTGATTAAGAGTGGATTACCCCTTTTTCTTGATAAGACATAAGCGCATTAGAAGTTGCAAATTACCCTCTTTTAAATTGATATTGTTCTTAGTATTTTCTTTGTTATCAATTCCTCTCTTCTATTTGTTTTGAGCGTTATTAGGCATCTTCTCTTTTCTAAGTGCTACTATGGCAGAGCTTGTTGAAATGAAGAGTGCAATGGCACAGATGCAAGAACAATTGAGGGAGTTAATGCTTGCGATGCATCAACTCAATTTACCACCACAAGGAGCAACAAGAATGGTAGGAAGTGAAGATATAGAGATGATTGGGGCTGCTTCAACATCTGCACCAAACCATGTCCCTTCTCCCAGAATGGAACACCCTTCGAGTGTTAGAGAACCGAGAGTTGCCTTGCCCGAGAAATTTGATGGTACCAGATCCAAGTTTCGAGGATTCATCAATCAGGTCCAACTAGTGATTGAACTTCAACCCCAGAGCTATCCAACTCCAGGGTCACAAGTAAGATTCATTGGTACACTTCTTTCAGGTTCAGCATTGTCATGGTTTTCATCTTTTCTTGAACGACGAGATCCAATATTGGATAATCTGGAGGCTTTTTTGGCGGAGTTTCGATCCATGTTTGGAGAACATGATGCAATTCGTGTTGCAACCAACAAGATCCGTATTTTGCGACAAGGCAATCGATCAGTAACATTATATGCTTCGCAATTTCGACAACTTGCAACTGATATCAAGTGGGATGATGCCGCACTTGTGAGTCAATTTCTCTACGGATTACAATATGAGGTAAAGAAATTGATGCTTAATTTACCTGATCCTCAAACATTGAGTCAAGCAATTGACTTTGCTGTGAAGTGCGACAATCGACTTTTTGAATTTCGATCCGAGAGTCGCACAAGTGGGCCTCAACGTTACTACAATTCAATGGCAACACCGACGTCTCCTCAACACATACCTTCAGAAGTAGAGGATATGCAAATTGATGCGGTACGTTTCAAACCTCTTACTGAGCAAGAAAAGTCTCGTCGTCGACAAGAAGGATTGTGCTTATATTGTGGAGAACCTAAGCACACTACTCAACATTGTCCAAAGAAGCGACGTAACTACAAAATGAGGAGTACGGCTGTCAAAGAAGACAGTATGTCGGAAAACGAGTACGTCCAGCTACAAT